TCAGCCATAGAGGCGGGGCCAGTCGAGGGGAGACCAGCCCGATTGGGGGAAAAAAAAGATGAGTAAAAACACACATACACACACATACCATGACAGACACACACACACACCATGACACAGACAGAAACACACACACACCATGACACAGACAGAAACACAGACACACCATGACAGACAGACACACCATGACACAGACAGACACACACACATATCATGACAGACACACTCCTTAAAAAAGACACACACACCATAACACAGACAGACCGTGACACAGACACACATTACATGACACAGGCAGACACACACACCACCACGACACAGAGAGACTGAGACACAGACACACACACCGTGACACAGACTGACACACATTACATAACACAGACAGACACACACACACACACACCATGACACAAACAGACCATGACACAGACAGACACACATTACATTACAGACACACACACACAATGACACATTGCATGACACAGACAGATGCACACACCATGACAGATAGAGACACACACACACACCATGACACAAACAGACACACACAATGACACAGACACACATTGCATGACACAGAAAGACACACACACACCATGACACAGACAGACACACACACACACACCATGACACAGACGCACACACCAGGACAGACAGAAACACACACACCATGACACAGATAGACACACACAATGGCACAGACACACATTGCATGACACAGACAGACACACACACACACACCATGACACAGACACACACACACCATGACACAGGTAGAGACACACACAACATGACACAGACAGAGACACACACACCATGACACAGACACACACACAAATGACACAGACACACACACTTACACTCACACTGACACACATAATTGTGGCAGCCGCAGGGGGAGCTGGCTGTTCTGTCTCTGCTCCCCCGCCCCAGCGCAGCGCTTAATGAGACCGGGGCTGGAATATGACGTCATATTCTGGCCCCGGTCTCTTTGTAGCGCGCTGGGGTGGGAGAGCAGAGACAGAACAGCCAGCTCCCCTGCGGCTGCCAGAAGAGCTAGCTGCCTGCCTGGGGAAACATTTTGCAGCACACCTGTGTGCACACAGTTTGGCAACCGCTGGTCTAGTGGTTAGGGTGGCCACTAGTGGTGAAAAACTGGTATTGAATAAAAATAAAACAAGAAATTAAACATGATTTGAGTTGTCTGGATAGGATCCTGACAGCTACAGTTCATTGAGGTAACCATGAATGCCAACATGTACTGTGACATACTGAAGCAGAGCATCATCCCCTCCCTTCAGAGACTAGGCCGCAAGGCAGTATTCCAACATGATAACGACTAGAGTTGAGCGGACACCTGGATGTTCGGGTTCGCCGGGTTCGAAAAAAAAGTTTGAGTTCGGCCTCGAACTTGATCCGAACTTGACCCCGAACCCGAACCCCATTGAAGTCAATGGGGACCCAAACTTTTGGGCACTAAAATGGTTCTAAAAAAGTCCTGGAAAGGGCTAGAGGGCTGAAAAAGGAAGTTAAATGGGGGTAAGAGTATGACAAGTACCCTGCAAACAATTGGGATAGCCCCCAAAATATTGGGACATTTAAAAAAAGAAAACAATGAGTAAGTGCACTTGAGTATAACAATGGCTGAGCGAGGCCAGTATAAATATCTATTCTGCACAAGGTACAGACAAGTCTGGTGGGATCCATGCCTGGTTCATTTTAATAAACGTGAGCATGTCCACGTTGACTGTGGACAGGCGGCTGCGCTTGTCTGTGATAACGCCCCCTGCCGTGCTAAACACGCGTTCAGACAATACACTGGCTGCAGGGCAGGCCAGCACCTCCAAGGCATAAATGGCAAGCTCAGGCCATGTGCCCAATTTGGAGACCCATAAGTTGAATGGGGCAGACCCATCAGTCAGTATGTGTAGGCGTGTGCACACATACTGTTCCACCATGTTGCTGAAATGCTGCCTCCTGCTAAGACATTCCATATCAGCTGGTGGTGCTGGTTGTTGTGGCGTGCTGACAAAGTTTTTCCACATTTCGGCCATGCTAACCCTGCCTTCTGAGGTGCTTGCGGAGCCCCAGCTGCGTTGGCGACCTCTTCCTCCTCCTCAGCCTTCGCCTTGTGCTTCCACTGAGCCCCTGGTGTCAGTTAGGAATGCCCTCAGCAGCGCGTCTACCAGCGTGCGCTTGTAGTTGCGCATCTTCCGATCACGCTCCAGTGAGGGAATTAAGGATGGCACATTGTTCTTGTAACGGGGATCCAGCAGGCTGGCCACCCAGTAATCAGCACAACTCGGCAGTCGTTGCGCAGGCACTTTGGTGACTATAGATAACCTCGGGCCAATCGCACATCCCTGTGACGGCGACGATGCATTCGGATGTCTGCCCTATCAACTTTCTATGGTACTTTCTGCGCCTACCATGGTGACCACGGGTAACGGGGAATCAGGGTTCAATTCCGGAGAGGGAGCCTGAGAAATGGCTACCACATCCAAGGAAGGCAGCAGGCGCGCAAATTACCCACTCCCAACGCGGGGAGGTAGTGGCGATAAATAACAATACAGGACTCTTTCGAGGCCCTGTAATTGGAATGAGTACACTTTAAATCCTTTAACGAGGATCTATTGGAGGGCAAGTCTGGTGCAGAGCGACGGACACAGGCGTGCTGCAGCAGAAACTCCACTATCTCCTGCTGCTGCTCGCACAGTTTCTCCAGCATGTGCAAGGTGGCGTTCCACCTTGTGGGCACGTCGCATATGAGGCTGTGAGTGGGAAGGCCGAAGTTACGCAGACAGGCGAGCAGCAGCAGCAGGGTGAGAATGCTGAAAGTGCGCACAGACTGCCCACATTTTCTGCAGAAGCTCTGATATATCTGGGTAGTTTTTCAGAAATTTCTGCACCACCAAATCCAGCACATGCGCCAGGCAAGGGATGTGCGTCAAACCGTCAAGGCCCAGAGCTGCTATGAGATTTCGCCCATTATCGCACACCACCAGGCCGGGCTTAAGGCTCAGTGGCAACAACAACTCATCGGTCTGTTGTTCCATGCGATATGTGGGGTTTTTCCCCCAAATATATGAGTTTTAAAACAGCCTGCTGTCGTTTCCCCCTGGCTGTGCTGAAGTTGGTGGTGAAGGTGTTACGCTGACCGGATGAGGAGGTGGTAGAGGAGGAGGAGGCAACAGGAGGCAAAGAGAAATGCCCTGCCATCCTCGGTGGCGGAGGGACATGCTCCAAACTGCTATCCGCCTCAGGCCCAAACTAACAGATGGTTTATGTCAGACGACAATGTAACCACCAATAGTCAACAATTAAGTTCACTGACAGTAAGGCAGTGCCGGTGTCCTAAAGAGAAAAAAATTCTAGAGGTCACACAACAGTGTGACAAGCGTAATTAATACAGTTACTTCACTGTCTCAAAAAAAGTGTGATTTTTTAAACCAACAATGTAACAGTAGTATTTAACGGTTTTATTGGATTGCAAGAAATGCACCGCAGGCCACAAATTAGAATTTTTCAAAGTGCGATGTAACCATTTGATAGTTCTATTTGACTCTCATATATGAAGTGCATGCCCCAAATTTACTTTTTAGCACCAAAATAAATGTGAATTAGTCAAACTGCTATGTCACAGCAGTATTTGACGGCTCTATTTGACTCTCAGATATGAAATGCACCGCAGGCAGCAAATGTACTATTTAGCAATAAAAAAAATTCGAATTTTTCAAACTGCGATGTAACCACAGTATTTGATGGTTCTATTTGACTCTCAGATATGAAGTGCACCGCAGGCAGCAAATGTACTATTTAGCACCAACAAAATTAGAATTTGTCAAACTGCAATGTCACAGCAATATTTGAAAATGCCTAGATGTTGCCCACTGAGTTACCAGAACATGATTAAAGTAATGTGCCTTGCACACATGCAGTTGTAAGTGCCCACCTAACAAACAGACTGATTGCTTATTTCTCTGTGGCACTGGGCTCAGGGCAGGGTACAAAAATGTAGTATAGCACCCACAAAAATAATCGCTGTAGTTTGCAGATTCAACACCAGAATTCTTTCCTAACCTGTCCCTCACAGCTGCAGCATCCTCTCCCTACACTAATAAGAGCTCATGTGACTCCAGCTTATATATAGAGGCTGGGTCACATGCTGCACTGGCCAATCACAGCCATGCCATTAGTAGGCATGGCTGTGATGGCTTCTAAGGGCACACGAGTCAAACGCTTGTTGATTGGCTTCCCTGCAGCTTTTCAAAATGCGCCATTAAATAGTCGAACACCGTACTCGAACCCGAACTGTTACTGAAATGTCCGTGTTTGGGGTCTAAAAATCATAATGTTCATCTCTAATAACGACCCCAAACACACCTCCAAGACGACCAATGCCTTGCTAGAGAAACTGAAGGTAAAGGTGATGGTTTGACCAAGCATGTCTCGAGACCTAAACCCTATTGAGCATCTGTGGGACATCTTCAAATGGAAGGTGGGAGGTGGAGGAGTGGAAGATGACTTCAGTGACAACCTGTGAAGCTCTGGTGAACTTCATGCCCATCAGGGTTAAGGCAGTGCTGGAAAATAATGGTGGACACACAAATTATTAACACTTTGAGTCAATTTGGATATTTCCACTTAGGGGTGTACTCACTTTTGTTTCCAACAGTTTAGACATTAATGACTGTGTGTTGAGCTATTTTGAGGGGACAGCAAATGTACACTGTTATACAGGCTGTACATGTATTACTTCACTTTGTAGCAGAGTGTAATTTCTTCAGTGTTGTCACATGAAAAGCTATAATAAAATATTTACAAAAATGTGAGGGGTGTACTCACTTTTGTGAAATACTGTATTTCTACTATGGCTGTTCCATTAAACGGTTTTGCCCTGGTGCCGTGTTGTAAGGAAACATGGCGTGTGTTGGCCTATTCCCTCCAGACAATTGTCTTGAGTCATTTATTCTTGGGGTGCAAATGGAGAGGGGAGAAGAGTTAGTGGGTTGGGAGTGTTTAATTGTTCACAGAACGTAGACCCTTATGGTCTCTTCTGAAATAGAATTTAGGTAAAGAAATACAAAAGTACTGATGCACTTCTCTATAGTAACAGTAGGTGTTTCTGCTCCCCTTCTAGTATTTGCCTTATATTTTCTCCAACCAGCAGAGCCTCTTGTGTGGTCTACCGGTGTCCAGAAACAAAATTCTAAATTAATCAAAATCTGGAATGGATATATATTTGACAGACTAAAATGTATTTTTTTTTTTTTTACTCACTTTAACTTCAGCTTAAATAAATAAATATCTTCCCTCTGAGGACCATGCCTCAGAAAAATGTGTGTGTTTCCATGACAACACACAAAACCGATATCAAGCTTCCACAAACCTTGAAACGTACATCAGTGAATAGAATTCTTAAATATTAAATGAAAAAGAGTTTACAGTTTCAACAGACTTCCTGGTTTTCGCAATACCCAGGGGCTGGTTTTATCTGCAGCAGAAAATTCTGTTAGCGTTCTATTTGCCAATAAAGTTACCCGTGATATCGATCTTTTCATATGTGAGATGATATCCCGACTTCATAAATAATGCTTCAACTTAAAGATGCAATCTCCAAATGGATTTCTCCAATTTAAACGCTTAAAAAAAGAAATATGAATCCACAAATAAAAAAAGATTATTTTTCACTTTGCATGCAGTGAGATAGACGATATTGACTCATAAAAATACAGAGCATTTGGGTCTTCCATACGTTGCGAATGGCAATTTCTAATCATTTATGATGTTGGAGAAAATATAAGAAAGAAAAAAAGGCATAATTTCTGCCAGCAACGTATTTTGAAATTCACGGCACAATTTTTAAGATGAAATTTCAGTATAGCTGTTATTTCAAACAGACAAACAAACAAG